TCACAACTTGCACAGTCAGTAATCAAACAAATGATAAATCCTGTGAACATGATTCTGTTCTTGGGATAGACCGAATATACTTGGAAACTTTGGCAATTAATAAAGAACAAACACATAAGATGGCGGTTGATTGCTGGTGAAGTTATTGAAGAAAGTTCCACCATAACTTGTATCCCATACAAGTTGGTGATGCCAATTCATTGTGTTAATACTTGTTGGGAACAGATTTCGTTATAACAAACTGTCGATAAGAATATCGTGAATCTGAGATTGGTTATTTTGGAAAAATATACAATATAGGTACAATTTAATTGACCTAATAAACTTTCAATGTTTACATTATTAATAGAATAAAAAAAACACACACGCGGCAAATTATTAGATCTCTGCTCGGAGCCAAGTAGTGTTGACCGTTCAGTGACACCGAAGGAACAATAAATGTTAATATAACAATGAAAATCATTTTTTTTTTATATAGTAATTGCTTTAAACCGAAACACAATATATTAATAGTATTTTTCATATCTAAAAGTAGTAAAGCCAATGCTTTGACATAGGTATGAGTCGATCATGAACGAGCTTTTAACGACCATGTAATTTTAGACAGTAAATGTCTTAAATTACATTATATTATTATGTTATGTATATTTATACACATAATATTAACAGAGATTTAAAAAAGGAACTGTTGAGTTTTTTGCGGGCTCTTCTCAACAGATAACATCTCTCCGAACATTGCATTCATAAAAATGACAATTTAAAAGTACTTATAAACAAGTGTATTTGAATAAAGATGATTTAAATTTGAATTTAACATTGACGGTTACCAATTTTTATCAGATCAGTGGTCAGTTTGTTTGACATTGTGAGCTGCGTAAATAAATAAAACCATTTCATATAATGTAGCTCGTATGTAGTGAAAATCACGTGTGAAAGCATTTATTTCTTTATTTCCCGTACTGTCAAGGAAATTGGAAAGCCTATTGTAATAGTTCCGACAGCTATGCCACGTAGTTCAGTCGCCGTGACTGCAAACGACCTAGTGTTCTAATTTCGTTCAGTTGTGAGACGAGTAGACGAGAACATTTTAGAAGCCTACAACTATCCAGCGAGTAGGCCTTCCGCTTTTTAAAATTTTCACTAAAAATAACAACTTTATTTTTTTAACTATATCGGCTTTACTTAAAGTACAAATAATAATTATTAAAATTAAACAAAATATTTGTTAATAACAAATTATTTTTGTAAAAAAAATAATCATGTATAATACATAATATGTTTGCAACATTATATTTTTATAGGCTTTCTGATATTTTAGTATATTTTTTCTACTAAATTCAACCACCCTATTTCTATTATTTCCCAACTCTATTTTTATTTATTACACAGGAGTAAACTAGTGAAAAACTTACCTCTGAAAACATTTTAAACCTTGAAACCGGTCAGGTATTTATTATAAAACCTTTTTTTATAGAAGAATACAAGTGGTAGTTAATTTTAAATTTTGGTATTATTTACATATATTATTTTAACACGATGAAAAATATTTTTGCAGGTAAATAGTGCCTACATACCTGCTTCTTTATTGTCGACATTTCGACATATATAGCAGCATATCATGGTCACAGCAGGACTTAAAATTTTTGCATCGCGTTTAGTCCCGATAGTGTATTTAAAAAGTGCAAGTGTTTTTCTATTAATATCAATATGTATACAAAGTTCCACCGAGTTCCGCCAATCATCATTACTTACAAATTTCCAAATCTCTAATTATGAATAAATATTTATGTATTATGTATTTTATTCACGACTTCGTCCGCTTAACCAAAATATATTCATTAAACGGGATAAAAAATAGCCTACTCGTATATTCTTCTCCATTCCATATAGTACGTGTTTACCAAATTTCATAGTCATTTGTTACGCTGTTAAGGCACTATAAGTTAACAAACTCACTGTCACATGTATAATATTAATAAGGATAATATACGCCTTATATATTACAAGTATATATTATTTCCGCATAACATATACGCTTTATACATTTCTATGTAACAAAATTGTGCGGAAAAAACAGCACGATGAAAATTCGCTATGCGGATATAACGTAATTCGTTTTTGATGATTCCTTTTTTATTACATTAAATAAAGCCTATTTCGAGATTGATCCATTTGATATTTGCCCTTTGCAGTGTATATTGAAATTCCTTATGTTATACTAATAATGATTTGGCCATGTTAGATACATACGAAGTAAATTTATTTTATTTTATTTCACTAGCATTAATAAGTGTGTGACTGCCAACACTCGAAGATTGACCACTATTACCACCAGATGTTCCACAACCTTCCATATTAGCCATCAATCTACGAATGCCATTTTGTTCACGCAGTAAAAAAGAGCAAAAATAGTTCTATTTTAATAACCAGTGGTATGGACTTGATGTAAGATAACACCTAGTATAATAAAATATTTATATACAAAGTAAATTAGTACAAAAACTAAATTCCCTTGCATTCGCAAACACTGAACTCTTCTACTTTAATCTGTTTAAAATACTGTTATTTTAAACGGAAAAGATTCTGTAATTATTAGCAAGGGTACCTCTGTCGCACTCGTTTTTGATGATTGATTCAATTTGAAAAATTGGTACATGGAGTAAAATTGCTGAGTACAGAAACATAAAGCCGTCATCTCCAGGAGTAGCATATATCTGTAGATGACTGTTTGCCTATTTCAATTTGCATTAAAAAAAGTTGTGTAATATTTTATTAATTTTAAAGATTGATAACTAAATTACAAAGGGCAAATGATTTTTATCTTGAAAAAAAGTTATTAGTACACTGATGTTGTTAGTAGTATTGTTATTAGTAGACTGACTGTTAAAGTAATTTTTAATATTAAATTTAATTAAAAAATTCACAGCGTCACCGCTGACTTAAATGAACTCACCAACGAAAAAAAACTTCATTACAATTCTGTCACTCACCAGTCAAAATGAGAAATACTAAAGGGGACCTCGTTTGAAAACTCGACAGCAACTCCTAACAAGCCAATTAAGAAGAAATGACTGTATATCATATTTTTTCTTCATAAATGAAATCTTCGCAAGGACGTAACAAAGACCCAGGGGCGGAATCAGGGAAAAGTCTTGCAACTCAGTAAACGACGGATATAAAGTTAGTAGCCGGCAATTTGATTTTTTTTTATTTTTATTAGTTAACACTGTTTAATTGTTAATACAATATATACTCGATTATTAGTTTAAAAAAATAATTTATAAGCTATTATTTATCATCAATTTCGTTTTGTTTGACAATGAAGTGAGAAAATATATAATATATCACTATATATCTCTAGGGCAAGGTGACTAAGAAACTCGTAATAACAGTACAGGGGATAGTCAATATAAAACATATGATTCTCGAGGGACTTTGACTTTGACCAGAGGGAGACTTTGTACAAAAGTCGTTTGCTTGGTTTCCTCTGTTTCATTCGTGTTTCAACCGTGAAGCAGTTGTGTTGGCATAGCTGTGTTTCAATATAAAACCCTATACATAAATATTTATGTATGTATATACATATGATTCTCGATGCATATATAGGCTCAAATTTTTTTTATATATTTATATAAATTATTATTTTATGTGATATGAGTATTTATTTTTTATCTTTTTGTAGTATGGATAAAAACATATTACGCCGACCCCAAATAATAATTGGGATAAGGGTAGGAAGATGGTGATGATGATAATAAAGTATTTATTTTTTTTACATCATAATAAAACGAACTTCTTAAGAAGTATATATTTACAATAGAGAAAATGAATATATCAAGATAACGAGTATTTAATTCATCTAATGACAAATATTTTATAAGTAGACCTCCGTCAAACAGCTTTGCATTTTGTCAAGCCATATTTTTTTATGTCTCCTTCTTTATTACGAATCTCTTTTACGGTCCCATAGTCAAGGAGTAAAAAGGAAACTTTCAATCTAATACATTTAGATTTCCTAATGCAAGTAAGCGTTTTGAGGAATTTCCCTGAAAAAACCTCGCCATGGAATCACTTTTGTTGATCGTTCTTTCAAGACGATGAGGAAATTTTGCTTACATAAGCTACTGTATATTTTTATAATAACAAATAGATAATAACAATTTAATGTTTGTTTGTTATAATAAAAAATTGCAGTGGCTGTATAGTAATATAATATTTTTGTACATAACTGGAAATGGCAAAAAGTTACCAGCCCACCCTTTTTTTTTTTATACAACTTAGAATGGCAAACAAGCTGACGACCCACCTGATGGAAAGTGGTAACTGTCGCCTATAGACATGAGTAGTACCATGGACATAACAGAGTATACTGGTTGAATGTAATAACTGTCGCCAATAGACAAGAATAACATTAGGGATTACTGTAATGCTCCTTATACTTTGCGAGAAGGGAAAGTAATTATTAGTAATTGGGTCTAACACCTCCATTGCAATATACCCTATCAGGTCGACCTCCATGTGGTCCCCATGAAAATCGTTGTGGTTATTTCTTGTGAATTTCGTCACGATAGACTGACATTGATTCCTTGGTTCTATTGTTTAGTTTTTAATTCAAAATAACTGGTTTTGCTCCGAATGACATTTTTTTTTGGAACAAATTTTTTAATTATTATTCAAATCTGTGCAGTCATTTAAGCATGATTTAGTAACTAACATATAAACATACGAACATCTTTACAAACTTTTACACGAAGTTTCTATTGTTATACAACACCCATGTTAACTTTAGAAGCACTAAAAGTTAATAAATAACCGTCAAATACTTTTCATCTCGTTCATTATTAAGCTCATGCACACCAAGTTTACTCTATGAATAATTTTACCTATCCAACAAACTTGGAAAAAGTCGCTTCGTGAAAATGAAGTAATTTCTTAGAACCTCGATCCATTAATATTCTCGACACAGAATAACAAGTGATCCTTTTTCGCTATTGTTACAGATGCTGTTTCCGACAATACCTTTGGAGGGGGACGGAAAATTGGTGATATTTTTTATGCAAAATGTGAGTATTGTTTTATTGTGCCTAATATTTTTATGAGATTCAAACAATATCTGTTCACTGTTCTTGGTGTAATCAATAAACAATCTTGGCGTTTCTTTTTATTGAAATAACAATATCTAAAAAGGTTTATATATTAATTGATTATATTATTGGATGAAATTGAAATCGTTAGTGATCTTTAAGATATTCTGCCAGTTTAACTAGCCATTTTCAACAAAAAAAAACATGACAAGCAATTACTATTTCAATTTCACTTTGTGTACAATTTATTACATATTATTTAATACAAATGCAAAACTTAATAGACAAAAAAATAAGTTTTAGTTTTAAATGACTATTTTCTATAAAAAAAACTCATCAAAATTGTTTAACTAGAATGCTAAATACACAAAATTAGGGTAGACTATATTGATTCTGACGATCATTTTCAATGATATGAACATGAACTTGAAAAGTTCAAAGATTTAAGCCGATATTCGAACTTAGAGTCTCTATAACGTAGTCAAGCGTTGTCCTATTCAGTTGTCACCGCTGTACTATAAGAGATAACATAATTGTAATAATGCTACTAAATACTAATAATAGAAAGAATTTTCTATTAGTACTATATGTAGTACTAAAAGAAAACTAATGAAATGTATTAAAAACAATAGACTTAGTTTTCAATACATTTTATGCACCTCTTACTTTATGGGTGTATAAAATGCAATAAAAATATTTTTTTAATAAATAAGTACAAGTTATAACAAATGATCCATTTCTCGACAAACATCGTCCTTACTGACAAAAAGAAAACATTATTTGTCTGCAAATCGTAAGTTTGTCGACAATCATAATATGTATTTTTTTTTTGTTTATCAAAAATATTATTTTATAAATATTTATTTGTAGTACAATTCTAGAATTTAGACAAAGGAATATTCACACACAATTATACCTATGTAACGTGTACGTAACTTTACTTTATAATTCACAGCGAAGGTAATGATAAAACTTAACAGAGACCACTTACTTAACCCCCTATTACCATACGACAGTCATTAAGAGGAATAAATTAACATAAAATTCAATTAGCTCAGTGTTTAGTACAAAATCGTTTAAGAAACTTTTCACCATATTCATGAAGTTAAAAGAAATATAGACACATATAATGTACTTGCGCAGACAATGCTTTTGTATTCTTTATTCTTTTGCAAACAAACTTCGATTTATGCGTAGTTCTCGTTCAATCTTCATCATCAGAACAGAAAAAAATCCTTCTACTTACTCATAGATGACAAACGAATGTATCTAATATATGTATAAATAGTCTGTAGCTATTAATCAACTATTTATTTAAATCAGTGTAATGAGTTAAAACATTGTACGTCTGTATTAACTATAACAAAGAAACGGAGTTTGTATATTACCTCTTAGAGCTTTAACGACTGAACTAATCACTTTGAAATTTAGTATATATGCACTATATGGGATGGAGAACAGGCTATTTTTTTTATCCCGGTTACTAAATATATCCCAGTCACGCGGATGAAGTCGCGAATAAATGCTAATCTATATAGTCTATATAGTAGTTGTAATATTAGTATAGTATATCTATATCTATACTAATATAAGTAAAAAAACTTCGATTGTTTGCTTGTTTGTAATGAATAAACTTAACAACTATTCAACCAATTTTAAAAAATTCTTTCAGCTATTAAAAGCTACATTATCAGCAAGTAACACAGGTTACATATTATTTTTAAAAATTAAGATACCTGTGAAAATTTATTTATTAATTAGTACATGTATATAAGAATACGGTGCTAGTAATAATTGATATATCTATAAATTTATTAAAACTACTACTCCACTAAAATTCCTTCCTATATATATATATATATATACGTACATAAATAAACAAATAAATTAATAGATAAAAAATATGCGTAATATATGTATAAATATATAAGATACATTATATTATACACGAAGTTGAGAATAATAGATAGTACTTACTGCTCGGATAAATTTCAAAAGTGCGCATAGACGTATTTTTTGAAAGACGGTTTTTAAAAATGCAATAATATAACCCAAGACATCAAAACTTTACCTATTAAAACTAATATAAAATACTAATTTTATCTTTCTGTATATATGTACTCGTGAGAAATCGAGGCAGATCACTAATTTCCAATACAGAAATCTCATTTGTTATTGTTAAAATTTAAGCTTTATAAATAAATTCCCAGCTAAATTCAAACTTTTAACAAGATTAACTTATTCAATCCAGATGCAATACAAAAGTATTATTTACATACGTTCAACCTACCTCCCTTTTTCAACACAAAACGTAGGTACGTCTTATCAATTTGATTCTTATCTAATCTCCTAAGGATTTTTGTATAATCGAAATCTTGGCTTTATTCAAAAATACAATTACTTCAAAATTTGCCATGAAATTTATCCTAATGCAAAGTATGTAATCTTACTAATATAATAAAACTGTAACTAAACGATGTTTGTACATGGAAAATCATCATCGTATCAGCTGTTAAATGTCCACTGCTATACATAAATGTCCCCATATTTGGGAATTTGAAAGAATGTATTTAACACATGGGAGATATTTAAAAAAAATTAACAGAAGTGATTTTAATAAGACCAATACATATCAAAACATTAAGTTTTAGAAATTTTCTGTCTATCTAAATGTTTATTCCAGCATCATGCAAAAGATACTGCACTTAATTGTATGTGATTTTCACATTTGTATTCCTGAAGGTCTAACTTAAAATGTGGCATTTACGAGTATTTTATCATAATACGCCATCTAGAAGTATACTATATTTCATTGGTCTTTATATTTCCAAAATCCACCTGATACCTAATCAAGGCAAAAAGCTAGTTAATTTCTAAAACTGTTTAAAAAATAGAACCGTAAAAGATGTGTACAAAATATATATCTACTATACTGCTACTATAATAATAACACTTTATTGCGCAATAAAAGTAATGATATTGGATTTTTTTTAAAAGATTATGTCATTACAAAAGGCGATCTTGTCGCTAACAGCAATCTCTTATAGACAACCTGCTAGAAAATAATTACAGACTTAAAAAATCCTATTAATCCTACTTATTTTAAATACACATACAAACTTTGTAAGAATATACTATATAATACTCACATGAAACATTATATAATTAGATTAACCCTGTTCGCCGCACCATAACTGTAAAATTACTTGCTTTGACTTCCACGAGACAGGCTTTGCCTAGTGTGGGGTTATAGCTATATTGTACCATAGGCTAATTTCGTTAAAGGAAATAAAGATATTCTTATTCTTCTTATATATGAATGGATGTGTTAATATTTCTTGTAAAAATTACTAACAGATTTAATTGGAATTTACTACACGAATGGGAGTATATCTTAAACTTATAGGATATTTTATATACTAATTCACGTGAAAGAAACCACGAGATTCAGATAGTATACTGCAAATTCTCAAGGTAAGTGATTAAGTTAATTTGGATTCACCTCTATAAGAAGTTGATGTCACAACTTTAAGTTTTGCGAGAAGAAACCGCACGTTACATGGCATGATATTTCAGGAAGACATTGGTGGTACCTTTTCAAGTAATAAAATCTATTTTTATGCTACTTGGAATAGCGAATAAGCTGAATAAAAGGTAATTATGACTTATACAAATGAACACAGCATGCATATATTAATAATGATAATTATAACGATTTTCGTTATGTTTAAGCATACGACAGTATTCAAGAATAACAATTATGTTATGTCCATGGTACTGCTCATGTCTATAGGCGACGGTTACCACTTTACATCAGGTGGGCCGTCAGCTTGTTTGCCATTCTAAGTTGTATAAAAAAATCTGAAACCAATCTGAATATACATTTATTTCAGTAATGTTTTACTAGCCTAAGAAGTAGTTTTAATTATAATTATAGATTGTGTTTCTCAAAAAATTAAACCGACTTCTATAGTAGTAAAATTGTTTTACTACTGGTACTTTAACTTTAACTACTGAACCGATTTTAATGAAATTTTTATGGGACCAATTCATAGGTATATCCTTCTAGATGAAAAAAAAATTTATACATTTATCCAAATCGAGATTTATACATTTATCCAAATCGAGATTAATAAATGACAAAATTATGACAAATAATATACAAACTACAACCGAATTGAGAAACTTTTCCTTTTTTATAGTTGGTTGCAAATTTTAACAATCATGGAATCCTTAACGTAAAAGATATGAAGGTTGTCGCATTAAAACATAGAATATAAAATATAGAATAGAAAAAATTAAAAAAAAAAACGTAAAAAACTATGTATATAAAGAAAACAGGTAATGTAATGCAATAAAGTATAAACAAAAAAGTGTAAATCGTGGGACATAACCCAGAAACACCAAAGTAGAGAATAATTTATTTTCAAAATTATTTCGTTCCGAATACGAAACGAATCCGAATTTACTAATGAACATTCTTCGTAATTCCTTTTTTTTTTAATAAATTACTATTTATCTATCTATTTAAGAGCTGCGCTCTTGTCGGTGAAGCTCTTGCCACTTACTACGATTTTCAGCGAGTCTCTTCACCTCTTGATACGACACGACACCAACTCCTTCCTTGATCTGCCTGACGTAACTATACTTTGGTCTCCCTCTTCCCCGCCTTCCTTCTATCTTACCTTCTATTATAATGTTCATAAGTTCGTCGTGTCGTATCAAGTGTCCGAACATTTTTTCCTTTCTGTCCTCAATAGTTCTTATAATTTATAAATAAATTACTATTAATACCATAATTAGACAGAAAAATAATAAAACATTTTAAAGTATGTTCCCATAAGTTTTTATTTTTCCACTTTTATAGCAACACTGAAGAGTGAACGTCTATCTTGGAAGCCGTAATTAAAGGAACAGCAGTAAAAACTTAGTACTTAATACTTTCATATTTCAAATTATACATCTTTTTTCCAAGGGTT